ACACTTCTGATCAATGTATATAGTTATTTCTTTTAAACTACATAAAAAGAAATGTTTGAGAAATCTTTTAACTGAAATACGAAAATACGATGAGAAAAGATATGTCTATAAAAAAAGTAATTGAGTCGATAAAATAAAAGAATATTAGTGTGAAACGTTTCTTACAAAGCTGTGAAAGAAAGGATTGCACTAGTGCGTGGTATTTAATGAAATGATACCGCTATAATTAGCAATATACATAAAGCAGTAGAAGAAATAAAGTTTAATTATTCGCAGTAGAAGAAATGCGATTTATAAGTATAAAGAGCACTCACAGCTATGATCTTAAAAAGTAATAAAGCCTTTCTTTAGTGACTATTATTTTCTGTTGAACTATCAAGAGATATTTTGGCGGAGAATAAAGAAGGTGACGCAAAGATAGGCCTCCTGAAATGATAATAATCATACAACTGAAATAAAATCCTCGAGATATTAAAACTCGCTGTGGAAACTGGAGCAGAGATAATAAAGGAATAGCGCTTGATCTTCATCGTCGGAAAATATATTGTGACAGTTAAATTATACGCCTGAAGACGATGATTCACATACAGGGTAGTTTAGCGCAGCTAAGAAACGCGAATAAACACACATCATCTTAAATAGGTACGATGGGCTAAAATAAAAATTCTCTCCTTCTCTCTCTCTCTATTATATATTTCACTTTTTAAGCTGCACGCAACCGTATTCAATGGATATTCAACCGAACAAAGAACGAAGCGCGAAAGTGCGCTTTCAAATAGATAATAGGATCGCGGGAATAGGACAAAATCCTCGAAATATTAGAATGTGTCGAGAGGAATAGAGTGGAAAAAGTGGAGCAAGAGATCTGTGCGCGGTATCGCACGTCCTTAAGAGACTTGGCCTCTCTTCCCGGATCCTTATAATTTCCATGATCCGAGCTCCGGAGAACATTTCATGGAATACAGGAGGGTTTCGTGGATCGAATATCGAATATATGTAGCGTAACCTCTCGCGCCGCCTCTCTCCTCTATTCCAGGGCGGAGTATCTTCGTGACCTCTCGGCACTCTCGGGAAAGAGTTGAAAAGTTGTTTCTCTCTCAGGCGCCAATTCCGGGGGAAAATGAAGACGAACAAAGAAAATTGCCGGCAAAGAGAGAGACGAGGAGAGCTGGTCTTCCTGCTCCCGGATTTTCATCCGGGCGGTCCAATCCGGGCTTTCTCTCCTGCTCCCCCCCGACACGAAGGAACCGAAAACATTTACAGTCGGCTCGAAACTCAGCTCCGCGCGACCATCAATCCGACTTCTACCCTCTGCCATCGCCGACGAATTTATCAATCTCGATGTCGACGCGCGCTGTCGAGACGTTCATTCTTCAGCCACCGGAATGAACGATCTCGTCTTTCTCGGCGCGATCGTGAGCAATTTGTCAAATCACGCTTGTTTGCGCTAAGCACTTCCCGAAACTTCACGGATAAGTTCGACGAATCCCGCTCGTCGCCGTTGGCGCGTTCCTAGGCCGCGGTACTAATTAAAGGTCGCGTATTGTCACGAGAGAGCTTTGTTCGCATTTCAATTACGGCCCGGTCGATTTCGTTGAATGAAGCACCACGAGCCAATCCGGGTGGTCCGGAGCTCTCTTCTCCTGCCGGCTCTACATTGTTCTTATCCCTCTTGTTCATCAGGAATTCGACCGCTTTAAGACACGGGATATGTTTGATATAGTACCTGCCTGAATATTATGCGGAGATTTACTCCTAGAATATTCTCGAAAAGCGATCATCGTGTTTCATTTGATATTATCGTTTATGCATTTCTTCGAGATGCTGAAAATTACACTAAAAGGTTAAAATAAATTTAATAATTTATTTTTTTAATATACATGTACTGTTGAATTTTTATCAAGTTTTTCTGCTAAATAAATAGAAATTTTAATACTGTTCGTGAATTATTTGATAATACGCGATCGTTTCCATCGAATCGCGTTTTAAGGATACAATTATCGTAAAAGGATTCGCGGTTCAGCGCCTCGCGTGAATTCTTCGACAAGGTAAATTATGATAGCCGTTAGAGCGGATTGATTTTGTCGTAGAAAGTTTAAATCCAGTGACATTGAATTTCGCGAGTCGAATCGCAAGATCACTATTCGTATTCGTCGTGTCGTCAATCTTCGTTCCAAGCTTCATAGCTCCTGTTCTTACCACTCGAATATGGAGGTCGCTGCATATAAACAGAAAAAGAGAGAGCAAGCGAATAGAAGTTTCGAACAGTTTCGATAGATTGATCGAATCGAATTTCTTATTTATTTTAAACTTACGTGCGCAAATTTATGATAAATATTTACGGCAAAATTCGTTTATTTTTATCGAGTATTTCTCAAAAATATTCAATTTTTAATAACATTGAACAACTCTTAGATTAAATTTTATCAGTCGCGCAAAAATTTCGCATGTGTGGAGAAAATCACCCATGAAAAATCTATAAATTTCCGGTTGGTCGCGAGAATACACTTTATTAATTTTAACCATGAATTTTATTCGCATTTATTTCTCATGACGCGTGTCAAAAAAATAATTAAATTTGAAGGCAAAATCAAACGCGTTGACTTAGTATTTTTCTTTTATAAATCTAATAAATAAAAAAGACAGGACTCTATTTCTTATTTGTACGTTCACTTTATTTTGATCTCCTCCCGCGAATTCTTATTCTTCACTTCCGCGATTCACGGAATATAAAACAGACGTGTCTCCGAAGATTTTCCTGAATAGTGATCATTAATACAAGTTCGCCCAAAGAACGAGGCACTGGCTGAAAAGAGGCGACTTCGCCAGTAACGAGCGGAATTAATAAAACGCCACTGTTTGCGAATGTAATTTGCGGGATGGAATCAACGTCTATTTAAGTCTTGATGAAATTACCGGCCGGTTAGAGACAGATTAGAGAGAGCTTCAAAGGGACGGGATAATATTCATTCATAAATTCTGTCTGCCCGAGGCGAACACGAGAGCAAGATGGAAGGGAAGGTGCTGCAAGACAGACAGGGATCAGATTGGAGCGACTGTGAGAAGCGGGTCGATACTAATTAATCTAATTAAAGAGGCAAATTTAAGCCACGAGCCGATCCTAATAGCTTTTTTAGCTTACTTTTACCATGAACGAAATGACTAATATTTTTACCGTGTCCATTGAATTAGCTCGCAAGCGCGCTGCACAAAGAGTTGTACAAAGGATTATAATTTACTGAGATTTAATTGAAAATGGAAAATATATCAATTTAATTAACGAATCAAAGAAGAAATATTTCGCTCTCGTTTAGGGAGCATATAACATTGCCATGTACAAAAGTTATCGAATCGTATCATAAGCAAAACATAAAACAAAAATGAAGTAAAGATGTCATTTTGCAATTTGTAAGTCGCAAAAATTATATGAAAATTATCTTTACGTTTGTGCTCGAGAAACGTAGAGTATAATTTTTTAATTAAAAGTAACAGAGTAAAAAATAATAATATCCGAATATATGTTCTCTCATCGAATTTTGCAATCTTCGATTCTTACGACAAAGTGACGGGGCCACGTCGAAACTGCAACGAAACAGTCTGTTTCGGACTTTCTGCGTAAAATCTGCCAACGCACGCAGTCCATATCCCTCGCGGTTTCTACTAATTTCGTAACTAATTACGTCTCCTTCGAACTCGGCAGGGGAACTATTTCGATCCCTTTGAAAGCTACATTTCGAGTTTGTTCGTGGCAATGGTACGAGAAGCCGCAGCGCGTAACTCGTTTCGGCGATTAATTCGACGCATTAGAAAAATACAGCTGATTAATATACAGCGTAGACAAAAAAAATCTTACAATTATTATCCATCCGCCAAGCGTGTAATTATTTTGCCCTTTCCTAAAATATGTGAAACTTTGCAAATGGAGATTAATTAATTAAAACAATTGTTTCCTATTCAACTTTCAAGCGTTTATCGTATTTTAAAATGCACGAGCACCGCAAAAATTGTCCAAGAGTCGCGCGACGCGCGGCGTTTAATTGCGCCGGATGTTTTGCCGATCCCTGTTTTAAAATTCCGCGAGTCCTTGGTAAAAAGGAGACTCGCGTGGAGGCGAAGCGAACGGATGGCGCAGCGGAAGCTGTGCACGTGTAGCGCACAATACCGCAAAATCCTCCCCCCTGTCTGGAGCGACGTTAGTTTTTCAGAGGCGCCCGGGTCGTAGTTTATTCGCCGTCGATCGATCGTTAAATCGTGTGTGACGATGAATGCCGGTCCGGGGTGAAACCGACGAGACACGGGGTGAAAAGCGTCAGAGACGATCGTCCGAGGGATTTTTCAGGATTGCGTTAGTATGCATATGTAGTCGCGTGAGGGGGAAGTCGATGTGCGTGTGTTTGTGCGTAAGGCTCTGTAAGGGTGGCGCATTATTTCCGGAATGGCGGACAACGACTTTCGAGCGGGGTACATTAATTGACTATAAATTCAGTACTCTTTCTCCTTCTCTCCATATTTCTCTTTCTCTCTCTCTCTCTCTCTCGTTCAGAATTAATTCGGCTATCTCGAGAGCGGCTTTCGTCGTCCGCGGCTGCTCGCGACTACAAAAGGAGGAAACCGTTAACGAAGCGCCTTAAACGCGCGCTATTTAGCGTGCCCCGCAACGAAAGCGGGACGACGAGAGACGGTTTTCCCGGGTTCGGGCTGCTTGGCAAGAGTAATTGATTGTTAAATGCATTTGCATCGCGGCGCGGTCGTTGTTTCGCCGCCGCTTGGATAAGGATTATACCGACGCTTACACTGTAATCGTCGCGTTTCGTAACGTGAACAAACAGGCGCCGCTTCGGGCGAATGAAATATTCATATTGCGAAATATGTCTGATGTATATCATCGAGAGAGAGAGAGGATCTCCTCTCTTTCTCTCCTTTAACGATGCAAGGATTTATCACGGAATTTTTCGAAAAAGTTGAAATATTTTAAGGTGCAATTGCGTATTATTTTGCAGGTCGAACGCACGACTCGACTTACACCCTCTACAGATTAGGCGAGAGACTGTCTACGGGCGTCAGATTGTACGTGGAAACCGGAAGAGCCGATGGATTGGACACGGACGGGGATTCGCCCAATAGCTTGCACTCCTTCGCGGGCCCGCCGATACCTCAAGGCGAAGGCACGAGCGTCACTCGAGCCTTCTTGGATGGCAATCACACTCTAATTAGCATTATGGCGCGCATCAATCCCAGTCCCGATTGGTTCGTAGGCGTGGATTCCTTCCAATTGTGCGTCGAGGGCAATTGGGTCGATACCGTAACCGTCGAGGTAATTACGTCTAGCGATGCCAAATTAATGTTGCCCGAAACGTGTCAATATGGTCGAAAATTGTCTCGCGTGAAAGAGGATGTTGAAATGTATTTTTTTTTTTTTTTTTTTTTTCAAAAATCATTTCTGCCAATCAAGCTTTGTCGGTCGAATCGGTAAAATCGAAATTTGCGTAGCTTGAAATCCGAAAAATGTCGAGAGATAACGTGAGAGAGAAATTATCTCTGCATTACATGATCAATATTATTTGTTCGAGGTTATTGAATCACCGTTATTTGTAAGGAAAACATATCAAAGCGCTTTAATTTACGTGACATTATGAAATATTTATGTACATACATACGTGGATACAACGTGAATCGCGTTTGAATCAGCCTCCGGAAAGTCAGGCATTCGTGTATCGCGCCGGTCGCGAAATATAATTCATACATTTATCTCCGCAAGTCGCGCCGCGCGCTTTGTCATTTCGCTAAAATCCACAAATGCTTGGAAATTCACGTCCCCGTTTAAACCACTCTCCGCTGTTCCTTTTTCAACAGCTCGACCCGCTGGATGGAGGCACGGATAACGGTTTCACATTCACGGCTGCCAACTGGCCGACGCAGCCCCAAGGAATCGCTTACAGGATCACATCCCGATATCCGGCACATCCCGCGGGAAGCTTCTATTATCCGAATCTACCTCGTCTACCACCGATAGCCACCCTCACATTCACCAAGGTACGTAACTAACTACACTACTCTCTATATTATATGTACGATCATTTATTCTCCGTTATTAATTGACCTATCGCGAGATAATTATTTATATTATCGGTTTTATATAAAGTCAAATTTTGGTATAAACCATCTGATTACTTATTGACGTGATATAAAATTTAAAAATTTTTACTCCTGATGTAAAATCATGAAAAAAAAGTAATAAGATAAATGAAATTTTATATTAATTATTTGTTCAAAGCTTTTTGTATTTTCCTTCTTTAAAATTAGGCTATATAAATTATATACGTTTTTTAATAGCTCAATATTATCTCTCGTTCGTTTATGCATTTAATATCTCGATTTCATAAGAACCCTTTTGTCGTTTGATAAAATGCATGCATAGCGTAGCAGCCCATTAAAAGAACATCGGGCTTCGATAATAGCCATTAATTTATTTCCCCGATATTGATATTGCTGCGTATAATAAATGCTCTGACAATATCAGTTTCAGCATAAAACTGATTAAATGCAATTCACTGTTTAAACAATCTAATAATTCTTCTTATACGAGATGACCCAATAATAGGCCCGAGAATAGACGAGACCGGATATTGCTTCATTGTGTTAATTTTTCGAATATCAAGCACAAAGTATAATATTGAAATTATACACTTCTGATTTCTAAAAATGGATTAAAATAAGTTAATTAAAAATATTTTAAATATTTGTTTAAAAAGATTAATGGTATATCGACGTTTTTCCCGATATTTCGCAATGGATGAATTTTTTTCGAAACAAGATCGCTGAGCTGTTTTGCCTTTATCATCCCGCATCCCTTTCCTTATTGCTGGCATTAAATACGTTTCTGACGCGCAAGAAGGATGGCTTGGCTCAACGTAAATATTTGTTTTCCGAAGCTATACGAACAGACTTCTCCACCTTGCGTTCCTGCAAACATCGAAGCTATCTCCGCGAAGTATCTTCCTCCTCATTGCCAAACTGATATCTCTAACCCAGTTTTTTATCCGAGAGTTAAATATTAACATTACGGCAAAAACTGTTTCAGACGTAAAACTTCGTTACAAAATCTGAATGTACTTTAAATATAAAGTATAAGTACTTTAAGAATGAAATTAATGTGTAAGAATACACGATTTTAATCATCGTTTAGCGAATAATAAGCAATCGATACTTTAATAAAGCTTCCAGACGCGTACGTGTTAAAGATTTATAAGGAATAAAGCTTGAGATAAATATTTTAATCGCGATGTCGCGAAAAGAGATTACGCTCGTTCCGTTCGTACATGAATACTTAAGTAACTTAAGTTGATCCGAAATTCAGACGAAGCGCAGTCTCTCGAGATTTTTTTCTCTAACCACATCATGACACTTGCGGGAAGGAAATTTGAGAGGCAACAACGCATTAACTCGTTAATTATCACTGCGTACGGTCTAATTCTATCTCCTTCTTTCCCTTATTCCTACTCCTCCTCATCATTCACCTCTTTGCTTCCGACCTCTCTTTGACTCGTGTCACTCTTTGCTTCCGTTTTGGAGCAAAGGGATGGTCCGTCTACTAAATTCCTGTCCCTTGCTCTCGGCCTCACTTATCACTCAATTACCAAACTTTTGTCGCTAATCCGATATTCGCCTCTCGTTTTCTCGCCATCTCACCTCCTCCTTGACTTTTCCTCGTTTATGATTACGTGATTTACACTTACTAATATTTCCGACAGATTTTTTGTCATTTTGTATAAATACAAAGATAGAAAAAGAATCGCACGTGACATTGCTGATTGCTAGAGATATAAATCAATATACTTTCAATTATTAATTACTTTTATTTTATTTTGTGTTGGCTCCGTTTCTGATATTTGAGCGTTTTCAAACTCATTAGGGGCCTTGAACGGAATAACGTTGTAACATTTTCGAGGATTTTTGCATTTTATTCGAAAAATCTTCCCAGAAACGTCGTTACTTGGCGTGTGCTGCACTTTTTTTAGCCTAGAACCTGGCGTCCAAAATAAATTTATATAATCACTGTAACACATATGCATCGATATATTTCTACGCGTAACGCGTTTTCACGAGTAGCTATCAAGAGCCAGTTTCAGCCCCATCGAGAAAGAGAGCTGCTCTCGCAACTGCGCTCGCAACCCCACTGTTTCCATTAAACTTCACGCTTCCGGAACTCCATTAAAGTGAAAATCAGACCGCCTAATGTAATGCCCATTTCGTACAACAACGCGCCCATTATCGCCCCAAAGTGTCCGGCTTTGCGAAATCGAGGACGTTTGTTTACGCCACTTGACTGCTTGAGAGCTTTGAACAACGGTGGCACGGAGTTAAGTAGAGAAATTAAAATTAAAATAAACTATAAATTTTGTTGCGAAACACGCTTAAGATACGTGCGGCATCTTGATAATCGATTTAGTAATTTTCTTAGTTCACATTTTTATTTTAATAATATATTTATGTATATATATTATATGCACACGTAAAGAGTATATAATAATAATAATGTAAAAAGAAACTGGAATAACCCGATGAAAAAGGAGGAAAAAAACTTATTACTTATTATAAATTTACTTATTTTACTTATTATAAATTTTCTAAAATAACAAATAAACATATTATTAACATATTATTTGTAGTAAAAATTTGTTTTATTATGGATAACATGTTCTCGCGCGAAATTAAATTTCTGGCGAAAAATGCGACTTGCACACTGGCATCTGCGCAAAGAGACTAACAATAAGATGTGTCTAATTCTCAAATAGAAAAAAAGAAATTATGAAGGTGGAAAAAGAAATTTAATTAAAAAGTAACAATATATATACGGTTTTAATTCGAAATTTTCTCTGAAAATGTTTATTTGCATTCTGAATATTTATTCATAATTTTATATCGATCGAAATAAAAATACAACATAAAGTTCATTTTATAATGGTTCAAAATGTGTATGACGTCGTTCTCAAATGACAAAATATACACGAATATTTTTTATGTGTAATTATATATTTAATTGATTTTTACTTCATAATTTTATATTTAATTTTATTTAAAACATATTTTATAATTTTATTTTCAACAATATTTTCTCAATCAAATAATTAATTATTATATGTATTAAGAGCTCTAAAAGACTTTTATATAAATTGATTTATCTAATGATACTTCTTAGCCAGTATGAGATGAGATCGCCACTGAATAATATTTACTTCTTAAACACAAGGTATCTGTGGACAGAAAGTGGACTAGCTAACGTTTGCAGATGGCTAATATTTATTTTGATTGATTATCAGTTGTTAATATTGACGCCAACACGAATTTTATACGGACAGCTAATACGCGCGTGTTAATTTTCTCGAATACGGTTGTTCACATGGAGATAATTAGTGTTCCTCTTGAGGTTTGCGCGCGGACATGCTAGAGTATGAATTACTGGCTGCGGATATGGATAAATTGAGGTAATCTACGACTGCGGTGCGTCTAATCGTGAGGCAAATTAGTTAAATCGACTCGAAAATGATGCGGAGCGTCGAATTAATGTAAATATTATAATTGTGTTAGAGAATATATACATATCTCTGCATATCGAAGGTACGATTTCTCGATATCTTATCTGTCAAGCCTGTATTTCTCACTAGGATCGATGCTGGAAAAATGCAAATCGATTATTTTTAACAATTAATTCGCGAATTAATTTATTTATTTATGAATCAACTCAATTCGAATATCAGAATAAAATTATTCAATGACTGCTCTTCAGACGCAATATATGCTAATTTACCAAGCTCAAAAATACCATCCGAATTACAGAATAGATATATCGAAATCTTCCCACGGGGGAAACACGTGATCGTGCTCTGGGGACTGGTAATGCATGAATTACTATCGTCGAGTGCTGCAGATAAAGGGTTAAACTCGCGGCGGCGAGCAGAATCGGCATGGAACGGATTAGGCAGATTAAACAGATTAAGCCGAGGCAGTAGGGGCCGTTTGCCTGCCTCTCGGCACGGGGGAGGCAGTTCAACCCCCGTGCCACCCCATCAACGTCAACGCCCTAAACTTCGCGATAAGGAACCACCTCGGTAAAGACGACGCGTGTGTATGTGCATGTATGTGCATGAAAATATATTCTATGTCCAAAATCTCCCGACTTTGCGCGAATTTCCCGATATCCTTACATTGGATGGCTCGCTTCTCGATGATTCACGAATTTATGACACGTTCTTATGCCGCTCTATTTTTTGACATTTACAGACGGCAGTGCATATTATCTGAATGACTTCTAGATTGATTACAAGCTTTACGAAGTATTATAGATAATTATTATCAAAAATATGATTACAACTTTTGCCCTTTTATACAGTCAAGTCGTCTCAAGGACGTTGGAAATTGGATTTCGGTTAGGGAAAAATGGCGGAATACATTGGTGTATCCGACGAAAATTCCGAGCACGCAATCGACGGAGCAAACATCAAGGGTGTACCTTCGAAAGTACCGGCTACGTGTTTTCGCTCCTCCGCATGAAGAGAGCCGTGATTATTTTTCTGCTCGCGCTGTCGTGAGAATGTATACAAATGTGTAATATTCCGTATGCATCACGTGCAAGTTATTACCGGTACAGGGATTTACGTGGACAGAAGAAAGATGAACACGCTCTCTTTCTCTGGTTATAATAAGATAACGATAAAATTTATGAAGGAGAAGGAAGCGAATGTGTTGAAACATTCAAATACCCTTTTTAAAAGAAAATCAGTATAATATATTAACGATGGAAAGTCCTATCCGTTACTTTTGGGAAAAAATACTGTAGAAACATTATTTTTCAACGAACGAAAAATTACTGGAGAGGAAACTAAGGTTGGCTTTTATAAAAGATAGAACTCGTCGAATTTAATTCACTTGCAATCGAAGACGACGAGAGAGAGCAAGAAGAACCGACCAATAAAGTTACTTTTCTCCTCGTTCATCTCGTCTGTTTCGAAGTATCGGCGAAAACGCAAGAATTT